AGACTGATTTCCAACCGGTCCCAAAGAAAGTATTCACTACTGCGGACTTCCTTTCTTACACGAAGAACACTTTACCGGGTAAAATTGATGCCCATAATTGGAATGTTGAGAATGTTTATGCTGCCGATGAATCGTCATATATTAAGTTGAAATATAGTGATGAAACAAATGAAGCAGAAAGTCAGCATGTATTAATAAGTTTTGGTAACGGCTTAAAGGGACAGTTAGGCTCAAGTAGGTTCATGCATGTTTGTCCTCAACCACAGATTGTTAAATCGCTCAATAACTTGAACGAATATAATGAATTTGCAGGGAAGGTTGTTAATATTGGTATTAAGGATGTGAGTATCGGTAATAACCACGGTTTCGTTACATTGAATAATATAGGTAATTATAAAGATGTGCTTACCTTTGGAGATAATGAATTTGGCCAATTTGGGAATGGTAAAGTTGCAAAAAGCAGTAAACCTGTCAGGCTTCCAAAACTAATTGAACCAGAGGATTTCAATAATGCTGAATTGACAAAAAATGATAAGAAAGTGCAGAAGAAATTAGTCCGAAAGGTAAATGATACCACAACTAATAGGTTGCAATTATTAGATGGAATAAAATTAGCTAATGGAACATCAATTGAACAAGTGATTTTCGCCGGCGATGATTCTTCCGCCATTTTCTACAAACGTAAATAGTACATTGAAAATATCCTGTGAATAAACTACATGCCATATATTTATGAACGACAAATGTATTACGAATATTCTATTAAAACTACAAAGAAACAATCAAAAATCAACCAGTCAAACGGCGCACTTAATTCAAACCAAATTCTTCGTTCAAAATCTTCATGGTTTCTTCAGGGTTTTGAACAGCGTGACCGATAGTTCTGCTATCGTTGTAAATTTCGTAATCATTACCACCTTCGTAAGACTTGTCACCAAAGAAGTGAATCTTCTCAAAACCTTCTTCTTCAACGTGTTGTAAACAGTAGGTCTTATCCCAACCAGTTGGGAAAACATCAAAGGAAATTTGACCACCAATAGAGTAAGTTAAACCGTAGTCAGCGAAATTTTCCTTTAAAGCATTGACCATCTTAGATCTGATGTTGTGTTCTTTGTCGTAAACTTCGAACTGGAGTCTTTCAGCAGTTGAAGCGTTTCTACCGACTGGGGAAACGTTGATCATACCAGCTCTGAATTCAATAAAAGTACCTCTTCTAACTGGAATATCAATATCCGATAAGTATCTCAAAATAAACTTGACTAATTTATTGTACTTTTCTTCACCAATCCAACCGATAAAGGACTGAGATGCCAATTCTTTACCTAACTTGTAAGCAGTTAATCCATTTTCGGAGAAACAGTAGTCGAAGTCATTTAAGACAGTTGGTCCTAATTGTTCGACTTGTTTAGCTAAATCTGAACCACCGACGAAACCAATAACGACTTTTTCACGCAATTTTTTTAAGGTCTTTAACATTTCATCAGAGACACCTAACCTTGCTGGGGTTAAAGTACCATCAACATCGAATAAGACTAAAGTTTTTGGGTTTTCCTTGTGAGCAAATGACATGTTTGTAATTATATTGATTTTGAATCAAAGAGCAAGAAGTAATGAAAAAAAAAAAAAACGTAAATGTCCAATATTTATATGAGCTGGCGTTTTTAACGCGTGGCACAAAATTTTCATTTCCGCGTATAATAGTATGCTTCTGTAAGGGGAAACATCACATTGATTGACTGTGGCTTAATGGTTTTGTCTTATAATAAGGCGAGAAAGAAAGCATGATGTGAGGTGTGGATGGAGGTTATTTGGAGTATTAATAGAAAATGGAAATCATGAGAATAAAGCTTGCGTGTCCTTTAATATCTGTTTTATGAAATACTTGCATATCTTATTATGTCGAGTTCTGGAGTGAGAAATATATTCTTAGCGTAGACAATCGTTATAATCATGTATCTTTGTGACAGGTAGAAAATTAAGATATGGCTTGACTTAGAATTGAGCTTAATAGATGGAAAGCTTATCTTCAAGGGTCAATATTCAAACAATAGAATTGAAAGCATGGAGGATGTGCTATTACTCCAGGTGCATAGGTAAAATAGGTAACTCCTCAGGACGTAGATGAGTTGTAATTAAATAAATAAGAATATGTTTGGTGGGGTATTCGCATTGCTGCAAATTGATGTCGGTAGCACAAGCAATTTAACTGCCATATAAAATTATAATGCTAGCTAATTGTTGGCCATATTGAAGCAAATATTTAGAAGAATAAAGTACCATTAATAATGTCATCAATGTACTTTTCAGGGAAGAATAGCAGTGATATCTTTTATGATGACCCTGAAAATCGACGTATCCAGATATATCAATCCTTATTTATTGAACTTCTAGAAGATGGAGAACAAAATGCAAGGGTATTTTTGGACACTCCGCTTCTGAAAGTCAGAGGTTTCGACCTGTTTAATGTATTGCCTGCTCCTGAGTGTATAATTGATAAGTTTTCGGCATCGGTCTCGATTGGAAGTATGCCCGACTTGGTAGCTCTTTATTATATCACTAATATGATGGTAACAGCTGAATTTCGAGAGATTAATAGTGATGAATTCAAGAATAATTTTCTTGCACCGCTAGATATCGCTATCAGAGAATCAAATATTCCTGGTATATTTTTGTCTTATATAAATGCTTATCCAAGAGCGCATCCAAATGAAAAGGAATGGTTTCAAAAATATTTCCGTTGGGATATACTGGAACATATTGATAGCCTCTACCTGCGCATTTGCGGTAGACACCATATGTTTATAGGACCACTGACTGTTAAGCAATCTTTTACGAATAAGAAGGATTTACGTTTTAAGCCTGACTTAATTCACTACCTGAAAAATAAACTGGCTTCGTTGCATGAGTTCCCTCATATATATTTTGGGTTGGGTGAGTACAAAATGGAAAGCTATTACCTATCGCAAGGATTTGAAAAATTGAAGACAATAAAAGATTACAAGCAAAAATTGTCGAGTACTAGGAGGTTAAGAAAGATGAAATCTCCGCTCGTTTTTGAGAATGAAACAGAGTGGTCTCCAGGAGTGGCATGTGCCTTGGTACTACGGAAATATTTTTACCAGGCTTTTCTCTGTGGTACTGATAGAGTGTTGGTTTCGGATTATCAATCATTTTCTGGGTTTTTTAAGTACGAAATTGTAAGAGACGATGAAGTTGGCGACAAGATGATAATAGATTACTACATTATTAATGATCCTGAGACAATTGCAGATGGAATTACATTAAGGTCTGCAATAGCTGGATTCTTTTATAATAACGAGACGGATGCACTCAAAACTATGGAGTCACTTAAAGAAGTATATAAATTAAGATG